GGGACGCTGTGTTCTCTCCAAAAAACGGCAATAACAACCACCAAATAAAAAGAAGCTCTGACGTCACTGAAATGACTGAAATGGCACCAGTGTTTTTCATTTTAGCCAAGTACCGGGCTTGTTGCATGATGATGGTGATGGTCAATGGGCTAGAACAAGCGGCATCTGTACTGGCACACTTGAAGCAAATGCAGATTGTTGCGGATTGAAGCGAATGCAGATTGTTGCATTTCCCACAGTTGTTTGCCATAACATTTCTGATTGGGGCTTGCCTCCATCAGGAAAGTATTGTTTGTGCCATTCTCTCCTTAAAGTGACACATAACGCTGCTTTGACAGTCACAGCAGGGACATTGCTTAGCATTATAAATCTGCTGTTCTCTACTGCATGAACAGGCTTCAGTAGAGTCGAGTTTACTTTTAAAGGGAAAACATTTGTGGATGTTTATGGCATATTTTTGGTGAGCATTAGCTATTGCATGCCAACTGCAGTATATAGATTCTCCTGGCCATTACATGATTAAAATGTACTCACAGTGTACTGAACAAAATGTCTGATTACTTTAGTGCTTGTGCTGAAAGCAACACTTGGCAACAATAAAACACTGGGTTGGTTTAATGAACACATCTCCTCTTTAGTGAAGCAGGTGTGTCCTGGGACTCTTAAGGAACCCAAGAGAACTGGGGTTAAAAGAGGTAACGCTGAACACTCTGAGCTCCAGCCGCTGAAGTGCTATTATGTAAATCACTTAAACGATAACCAATCAGACAGTCAAACAATGACCCTGCCTCCCCTCACATTAATAAGCCTTATCAGATGTAGACATGCAGCAAGCGTATTGTTTGCCCATTTTGCTACGAGCAGTCACACTCCCCCAGCCCCCCCCCCCCACCCCAAATGAGAATCAATCCCCCAGCTGTAACAGCAGCCTGATATGGAGGATCACGCTGGGTAATCCGGGAGACTGTGTGAAAGTGTACCCTCCAGCTTCTGTCAGTGATGAACTCATCGCCCGTCTGACAAAAACACCTGCTTATATCCCCTCTTAGAAGGAATCCATCTATTACAGCAATGCCCTCGATGACAGCACCTCAAATTACATGTGTCGGTGAGTCACACTCTGAGCTAAAAAACATGTTGGCTCACTCACAAGATGCTGCTATCTTACAGCCATGGTTACATACAGTATAGTGCCGGTAAATGTGGGGTTACCAGTAAACCTCCTATGGACTCATACTGTAAAGATGGAAGAAAGTCTCCCTTGCTGGATCAGTTGCTTACAGCACAGGCTGTAAACAAATGGGTGCAAACAGCCTGACAGGCTAACGAAGAGGAGCATCAAGCTCGGCAATGAGACCAGCAAAGGTTAAGAGGTAATTAACCGTTGGAGGCGCAGAGCTGATTGCTGGAGTGCAATCGCGTTCCCCGCTGCTTATTAAATGAAGAGTGCTGGCTGCAGCGACGTTGCCTTTGCTTTCTCATCTGCAGCTCTGATGGGTTTCTGTGAAGTGGTGCATTGAGGTCAGCCAAAATGAACTCTGGATGTGGCGGAGCAAGGTGAAAAAAAAAAAAAAATCCACACTTGTCTATTCTGGCCCCTGGCATATATCTGTAAGACCGCCATGTCGACATCAGAGTGAGAGGACTACAAACAGGTCTGGCGAACAAAGGCACATGAAACATAATTGAGTTCTTTCACTGAATGCGAAGGTAGGGATTAATATCAGACTATGCGACCAGGTCCAGTCATTGCTGTGGGTACTTAATACCTTTCTTCTAAAATGGACTCTCAGATCACAATTCCCTCGCTATGATAAGATGCTCCTTTAATTGAGTATTGCACATTTCGTGTAAGATTTAGTTTTCACTTTAGTCAATGCAGTTGCAAATGATTATCTTCTCTCTGTGAAGTGCATACTGCCTAAAGGCTCTGCAGCAAATTCAGCAGCAATTTTTTTCCCACCATGCAAGACCAACAAGTTACAAACAACAAATGAAATTAAAGAACACCTGCGTTGGTTGTGAAAAATCGTCTAAGTGCTAATCAGCTGCAACAGCTCCGCCCTGTCTAAGATGTTTGTCAAAATGACTAACTTATGAAAATCACTAAGAGGATGCCCTTCCATGAGTCATCCTTACCTGTTTAGTCTGTCATTTTGTTATTCATGTTGCTAACCTACCACCTATGCCCTTGATCTTACTGCACTGTATGTATCTTGCCATGGTGGCCCTGTAGGACTGGATCTGCTAAATAAATTGGTAATTTTAACAAATGATTATAATTTGGACAGATAGGTTTATTTCATTGAAGGTAACTGAACTGAATGCCTGCTGTGAGGAGTCCAGCTGCCTCTCTCCTGCTTTCTCAAATTCCCTTATTCATATTTACCTCCCATTTTCCAAATAAATTACTAATGTTAATAGCTAATTATAGTTTGGACAGGCAAGTTTACTTTGTTGAAAGTAAATGCTTTTAATGTGTACTGTGAAGAATCCAGCTGCCTCTCTCTCTTGCTTTCTCCTTCCCCCTCATTCACATTTACATCACATTTACCTCCGCCCGACTGTTAACAGTTGAGGTGCTTCACATTGAGTGATTAATTATGCCACATACAGACTTCAGACTGCATCACCAACGGAGAGCGAGAAGGAGGGGTCACTTCAGGACAGGGCTGCGTCTGCTCTGTTGTTCCAGGTAAAGGAACCTACCTGTCTGTCCAGCTTCTGTTGGCGGAGGTTGCTACCCTCATCGTCCAGCACGCTTAATAGAAAAAGAGATAGAGAGAGAGAGAGAGAGAGAGAGAGAGAGGTCATTTCAAGATGAAATTCAGTCACAGCATAGTCATTATCTTTACTGAGAGAATCTGGATCCTCTTCCACTGGTAGGCTTAACTGGAAGGTATAGCACAGTACAGGGGATTCCCTAAGTCTTACCAGCCTGCTGGCTTGATTACTACCTCATAAGAGAAGCTTCTGCACATTCTGTAGGTGCATTAACCTCTTTCATGTTACACTTTTGTGTGTGGGGTGAGAAGCAGAACAGAACAGAAAAGAATACAATAGCACAGCATAGGAGTAAAGACACAGTTGACACAAATTTTATGTGAAGAAGTTTCGTTTGCAGGAGACAAGTGACAGCATCAGTATATGCAGGTTCCCTCGGTGTCATCGCTAGGGAATTCATCGCCGAGAGAAAACGAACTTGTACATCAAACACACTCGTATTGATATCTCCTGACCCAGTTTCCTACATCAGGTGTAACAGTAATGCGGAAGCATGCCTTTAATAAGCCCGTTTCAAAGGCTTCCCTGTGCCCTCCAGCTGTCTTAGCTTTGTAGTGCCATAAAGAAGACATGAAGCCGCTTAGAAAGCTCATCAAGATACTATCATTCAGGGAACTGCCACACACCCCTGGCAGGGGCGTTAAAAAGTTCCCGAACGCTCTGCCCAAACTTTCAATCAGCCCAGAGCTGATGGAAAACCGCAAGCAAATCCTCCTCTCCCCCTCCAGCAATCACCAACCTGAGACAAACAAAAGCGCGCCAGACACAGAAATGACACAGAATTACAAAATCACGCATTTTTCCCTGTGAAAAAGAAATGAATGGGCACATCTGCAAAGCGAAAGAGCCCTTTGTTGAGGACGATTTTGAAATAAAGGCGGTTGATTCGCAGAGGTGATCTCTGCACCCCTTCAGGCAGTGCAGGGCAAACTTAACAGGAGTGAGGGGTCCTCTGTGTCTCTGTCTGTGCTCTGGCCCTCTGCTCCTAATTGGCTGTGGCACATTTACTGATTACCCCCCTCTTCTAATATGTGTTGCTTGGAATCAGGATGACAATTAGAGCTAAAAGCTTTCCAATTAAAAGGTAATGAGAGTGTTCCTCCGTCGGAGAGGGCTGGTAGGTTGGGATCGGCGTCGGCGGTGAGGCGGAGCAGAGGACGGAGGTCGATCAGGGCGCTTGACTGACACTGTGACTGACACCTCAGCCCAAAATTTTCGTGTTCACATAGAAAATTTTGAAAATTGCAGGTCAGTGACAGATTCTGAACTTTTACACCGAGGCCTGAGCTCTCACACTGTATCTGTTCCTGACCTCAAAAGAGTACAGTTCAGTGTGAGTGTGGCTGGCGTGATGTGTGATGCATGCTCCTCACACGTCTTTGTCAGGCAAGAATAAACACAGGGTTCTGCATCTCCACCACCACCACCACCCCCCCCAAATACCCACACACATACAGTAGTCTCTTTTATTTTTTAAACCATGACCACTCCCCCATGCTTCTTCCTGGTAATGACAATGGATGATTAGGCTTACACCCTCATATCACACAAAGGCACAAATGTCTTTGGGTAGGCAGGAAAAACTGTCATCCAGAATCCATTTATGGGGCTATAGAGCTTATACTAGAGGGAGCCCACTATGAGATGTCCGGAGTCCAAATAGCCTTCTGCGTTTCGATTCACACAGGTGCAGTTTCATATTTATACACACCAAATGATCTAACCGCAAACTTCCATAGAAGGTTTTTCCTTCCATGAATGACCCCTGCTGTGCCCTCAGCAGAAACTTCAATGATTCAGCTCCACACATACACACACACACACACGCACACACACACACACACACACACACACACACACATACATACACACATACACACTCCACAAACAGACACATACCTTCTCTCCACAAATGTCTCTCATCTCACATCTCTTGCTCTCGTAAACACACACACAAAACACACACAAAAAGATGTAGACACACGTACATTCACAAAGACACACACACACACAACTTCTGAGTTTCTGGTGCATTCCCATCATATCGGCAGATAATGACAGATAATCTGTGCTGCTATAATGAGTTTCAGGCTTTACAGATGAACAATGAGGTGAGGAGCTCCGCAGCTCATCCAGGCACTGTGAGGGGTAGGCTGGGGGATGGGATCAAGCTCAGAAAAGACTGCAGCCCCACACACAAACAACACCTGTGGGGTGGCAGTGTAACATAGTGGTAGTGAATAGGGCTTGTCACCGAAAGGTTGCCAGTTCGATTCCCCGCTGGGGCACTGCTGCTGTACCTTTGGGCAAGGTACTAATCCCACAATTGCCTCAGTAAGTATCCAGCTGTATACATGAATAACATTGTAACCAATGTAATTTGCTGTGGATAAGTGTCTGCTAAATGAAAATAACGTAATGTGCACCATACATAACGCTGATCAGAGAGACTGTGTTTTCCTGCACAGGTGTTTCACATAATCTGACATTGCAAAATGGAAATATAACCAAACCTGCTTTGGAGATTCCTGTGTTTACACAGCAGCCCAGTGCAATGGTGCCTTTTGTCCCCTCAGTGAGCTAGTACAGAAAGATGTCTTTGACTTACACTATTTTCATATTCCCTCAAAGGGATACAAAAACAACTTTGCACTCTCTGCCAGCCTTTGAATAATGCATTAACTTTCTAGTAGGAAAACACACAGGGAGCACAAATTTGTCAAATGTCTTTCGCTAGAGATAATCCACGGACATTTCATAAATCCATTATGTTTCAGGTAGCCAATGGCATTTGTCTGAAATCACATCAATATTTGCCCTTGTGAGTATTGTTTAATACATATTGTCTATGTAAATGGAGCTTGAAATGCATTTTTAACACTTCCGACAGGTTTCAATTTCAAACACTCATTGATTTCTGGATGGCTTGAGCTATAATTACATTGTGATAAATCCAGCAATAATAGTGAGGGCAAATATTGATAATTTTTCCAAAGGAAAAACATGAGCACTCTTGCACATTTTTCGGGTTTCAGTGAATTACATTATATACCATCAAATGTAAAATTTTTAATTTGAAAAAATGCATCACCAGCTGCAGCATAATGTGCAAATCTCTCATGTTAAGCAAAGCCCCTAATGCGCAGACGACAGATTTTCTGCTTTGTTGTACTGATTCATTTGCAACTAAGCAAGACACACATAAAAAGATAAAGATTCTTTAGATCTGCAGGTGAATTCCTAGCAAGCTGATAATGTTCACAGCATCCTGCTCAGTGTTGGGTTTAATGAGCCTGCAGCCAATGAAAAGATAAACATTCAATTACGTAATGTGCCAAGAAGAAACAGATTTACTATAAGGCGTTTCCTCTTGAATCACAGCATGAAGACACAAGAAAGCCAGCGCAGAAGAAAGATGCAATGCAAATGATGAGCTCGGAGCTATAAATACCCGCTGGACAGAAGCGGAAGGCTTTATTGAGGAATTTATTGAGCTGAGGTGAGAGCGTGAGGGTCTGTCTGATCTGTGCACAGACACCTACTGACAAACACCGATTCCACCAAAGTCCACTCATAAAGTGTGTCGCAAATCATAATGCGTTGTCCTAGGCTTAGGGTTTGACCCCGTCCACTGAGGAGAAGTCTGAATAAGTCTAGACAGCAGGTGAGCGCGGTGCTTCCTGCGGCGTGACCTCCAGGTGGTTGGAGCGTTTCCAGAGTCTGCCCGGTGGAACGCAGGATTGATGAGAGAGGCCGGATGTGCGCGGCAGATATGGCTGGATGTGGTCACCTCCATCACTGGGGTGTATTTTTCATGGTAGGTCCCATCTGCTGGGGCAGCTCCTCATCGTGCCGGGAAGCCATCCGTGACAGGCTGCCGAGCCAGAGGGCGGAGCACAGGGGCCGGGGGGGCGGTCGGCGGGACGGACCCTCGTCTATCTACACCGTGTGTGACAAACTGCTGTCTTACCACGACCACCTCGTCTCTGCATTCATCAGCCGAGAGAGCTGCTGTCTACACGAGGTGTCTGCCCTGAGCTCTCCACAAACCAATCAGCTCCTCCGCCTTCCCTACCTGTCTACCACTCACGCTGTCACCGTGGGGCAAAGCTTCCATTGATTGCGTCTCCACTTGCTGATAATGACATTCTTCACAACATGTACCAGATGGGCTCTGAACACGGCTACACATAAAAGAAACGCCAGGCAGTGATCGATGACCTGATTTTGAGTCATAAACGGCAAGATTGCTTTTGCATGTGCTCTCCGTGTCTGCCATAACACTTCATAAAAAGTCATTTTTCATGTTACAACTGGAAGGCGCTTGCGCTGTTACCCAGGAGGGAAGCCTTGAGGGACTGAGTCATCTGCTGTAATTAAAAACAAAATCCATACATCAGGTGGGCTTTAAAAAGCCCATTTAATTCAAATGTAGAGATCTTTTGACAGCAGGACTCCCGGCCCACTCTCTAACGCAATACTGGCTGCTGGTTCTTAGGAAACGATCGAAGGCGGCCAGGTACCCGCTAGCCCTGCTTAGGAGGCAAGTGTTCCTGACGCAAGCCCACTGTGACAGAGGTGACAAGCAGGCTCCGTAACTTATGGCAACCAGCAGCCAATGGGAGCGGAGGAGGCAGTGCATCCATGGCAATGGGGCTTCTCCTGGAAGCAGCGGCAGCTACAATGCCATTGAGAGCAGACACGCGTCATTTTTTTTTCTCTCAAGGAAAGGCGAAGTGTTGATTAATACAGATATCACTGGCCATTTGGAGCAGAGAGAGACACCCTTGCACTCTCATAAATAATGCATCTCCTTTATCTACAATGAACAGAATGAATAAAATGGCACAGGTCATGTAAGCAAACAAAGAAGTGCTACTCACGCCGGTCTTTGTGAAGAAAAGCTTAATTACGGGGGAAGGCACCTTTTGATCAATTCTAATACTATATTCTCTACTTGTAAAAACCGTAAGTGGTAAATTTGACCCCCATAAAAGAGTACACGGTTGTTGTATGAATGAAAGTTAATTAAATGGCCGGAAGAAAAAATGTTTATGAGCCAAAAGCAAGTCATTTTCTATGCTTACCTCAAGAGAAGATCAAGGCAAACTGCATTCAGTGTTAATATGCTCATAAGCTATGCAGACAAAAAAAATAGTCAAAAAAGGATCAAACATATTCATAGGAAAAGCTAATGCATAAAACAAAAAAAGCTGAATATGTTCTGCTTTTATTAACCACAGATTAGCACAGAATTCAAAAGCAGTTTTTCCTGCAATTGCCTGTTCCGTGGAGAATCGATTCTGTCCGCATATGACCACCACTACATAACTTATGATGTGCTTCACATACCACCACATGTGCAACGAGACAAGAACGGCAACAACACATCTCCTGAACACAGCACAGCATGAGAAGAACCCACAGATTCATCTAAACTTGCACTCATGCCTTTCCTTGCAGTAATGTGTGTCTCTCTCTCTCACTTCCTAGTGGCACTGCTCTCCTCTCTAACACTCCAACTTTCCCGGTCTCAGCTGGACCTGCGTCCTGGGGACCCTGGGGAGCGGGACACGGTACCTGTAGGGGATCCAGTCGGAGTAGAGTTTGGAGCTCATATCTCCCGTTTACTCGTGGCTTCTAAGAGCTCGGCTGGGGGGCCCGCAGCGACGGAGAGAGAGACGGCGACAATCCTGGCGACGGAGCCCACGCGGAGATCCTCTGCCCGAGGGGGGATCTGGGCCAGGGGCCGGGGCGCTGCATAGATCTCTCCAAGCCCTTCCGCCTCTCCCATTCAGCACTGGAGGAGCCCAGCTCAGGGCTGGAGTCGTGTCCTCCGTTCCCTCGCAATCCAAAGCACGGGCGCTCCTCGATCAGGCGTGCAGAAAACACGTTTCCTCCCCACGTCTCCCTCTCTCCCTCTCTGTCTGCGAGCTCATACGAGGGCTCTCATTCTCTCCCGCTCTCTCCCTCTCTCTGTCCGCAATCGCTCTCCCTCTCTCTCTCACTCTCTCTCTCTGTGTCCTCTGCACTTGTTTTCCCTCCCCCTTTCCTTCCCTGTGCACTCTCTCTCTCTCTCTCTCTCTCTCTCTCTCTCGCTCGCTCCCTCTCCTTATAATCTTGCACACAGCCGTGGGTAGAGACAAACAGGTCGCAGCGTTCCCCTTTTGTTGCGGTCTTTTGATGTTAGCGGCACTTTCTCCATCCCTCCCTCCCCCTCTCTCTCCCCCGGCTCTCACGGGTAGCGTCTTCAAAAGACGCGGGAAGCTTGAAGAGGACCCAAATGTGTTTGTAATTATTCAGAATTTATTCATTTATTCTGAGAGCAGAGTTCATTAGGCAGGGACAGTGCAGAACAGAGGGGATTGCGCTTAGCTCACCATATTCTGCCTACACAAAGACTCAATACACTAATGCCACCGAAACATAAATGTAGGTCTTCCGGTTTATTCCCATAATTAGCAGTAGAATTAAATAAAACAGAGATAACTTTGGCATTCAGCTCAAAATGAATGAAGGCCACTCACCATTTAATGAATCAGGAGCAAGCCATTTAATTTAAACAAACTGAATTCATAGAAATCAATAGCAGCAGGCTGCCAACAGACCATAACAAAACACTGATGAACGTTTCAACGACCCATTCAACGTTTGGAGTGGAATTACGTGACACAGATCTGACAACATCTATGCAATGCATTCCTTTACCATATGCTGCTCATTGCAAGGAAACATGGTACAGAGAAGATCCTTGGACATTCTGCAGTGCCCTCCAAAAGCATACAATTGTTTTTTCCCCCCCGCTGTCTCTAAGGATTTCTGAGGCACGTCCAGAGCTGCTGCATTTCCTCTTGTTCATCTCGCGCTCTGGCAGCTTTTCGCTGTGCCTCGCATTACATCACTGTGATTTAGCGCACGCCTGGTTAACCAGGGCATTCCCTGCATTTCTGCGGTGCCGCTCAGACTCCTTCATGGTCTCTCCCTCCTCTGCGGCCAGCGTCCCCTTTCTCAGGAACACAGCCTGCTTCGAGCGTCCTCAGCGAGAACGGGCGTTCGCGTTCGCGAAGCCGCTGGGTCCAGACACGGCGTGCTCGCGCTGCTCTTGGTTTTTACACGACAGAACCAGAGGTGAATTTTCACACAGAGTGTTTGCAATGTGGGCTTATCGTTGCCTGAATCCACAGCTCTGAAAGGGCATTAATAAACATCAGCTGTCCTGTGGATGCGTTTTTGCTCCATTATTCATCGGATGCACCTGATACAGGCAAGGCTGCCCATGCTTTCCCCCATTATG